TAATCCACATTTTCCAAAGATAACACTTTAGCATTGTTTTGACAATATAATTCTAGATCTTAGTCTTCTCTTAACCTTTCTGAACCCTGTAGAATGACCAAAGGCCGTGCATGTGATATTAGATCAGTAATGAACCTAATGAATGTGGCCTTCTGGAAAATTGACCAAAATGAATCCCCTCCCATGGAGTTCTCTATTGCAATACAGCTTCAAACATCATGTTGTTTTTAAATCTGTTTTAACTCATCTTCAAATTAGCCGTCTAGGCTAGTTAGACATTAAGGGAGACACCTCCATGCTTTCATGTGAACCTATTCATTCTCCACCTCATACTCTCTGCCTCAGCCATAATCACAGTGTGATATCACTGGTCTCACCATTTCGCAATTTTCTCACACCTTCTAGCTATTAATTCCTCACGATTGTCAATAATGGTTTAAAATACAACTAAAACCATCTGCCAGGAAATTAAACTCACCTTCATTAAGATCTTAATTGCTGCAAGTACTCAACTAGTCTAATTTGTTTGTACTGGAATTTATAGTTGAACCCACCTGCAAGTTTCAAATTATCAGCTATATCTGTATTTATTTTGTTGATGAGATCACATTGTTGTCAATATATCTACCGTCATGCATCTGAGACCCTCATCCATAATTGGTTGCTTGCTCAAACACTTACGGCAAGCTTACTTCAGAAAATTATTTTCTAAATTTCAACTCCATTTTTCATCTATGGTTTTCAACTCATTTATCATGGGAAAAGAAATGCAAAAACAAAATGTTGACCTTTTCAAACAAATCAAAGATCACAATCCTCATTTCTCTTTCTCATCTTTTAACTCTTCGCCTTATTGATGCCAACCATGGTAGCAGTGACAGCAGAAATGGTTTTGACATTAATAGAACCTGACAATAGTGGTGGAGGTGGCGATAATGATGTTGGCAACTAAGACACCGACAATGATGATAAAGATGGTTGTTGAAATAGGATGGTAGGATGGATGTCTCGATATTGGCAGTAGTGGTGTTGATAGTAATAGTGATGACAACAGTACGGGAGGCAACACAGACAAAGATGATAGGTTGTGGTGGCAGCTACGTTGTACAGACTTGGCTTTTTTTTTTACCTAGCACACCTATGTTGACATGACACATTGCAAAAAGTCAAAAACTATTTAGAGTTGATAAAATTGACAAAGAAACAATGACATTCAGCAAATCTAAACATGAATCAGCCAACTCTAACCAAGTTAGCCTTTGTGGTGAGTCAGAAACCTTATGTAAATGAGGAAGGAGAAGAGGCGGAGATGAATAGGAAGAGGAGCAAGGAAGAACCTTCAATGTATCACCCCATTGTCGTACCGCTACAAGTACCCACCGCTGCAAGGTTGCCGTCCATGGTTCCACACTGTGTGTGTGTGTGTGAGAGAGAGAGAGAGAGAGAGAGAGAGAGAGAGAGAGGATGTCTGCCTTTAACTTTTTATGTATTGCATTGTTGAACTAGCTTTCATGCGACATAGGAGGCACGTTCTAGCATTAGGTCCTTCTCATGCAAAAATAAGACACAACCAACAAGAACTTTTAAAAATTGGAACAACAAAACCAACTCCTCTGGCACAAGACCATATATTTTTAACCTTTGCAAACTAAACAATCAATTGCACCACTCAACCCAAAAATCAAGAGACTCCCAAGACATGTTCCAAATATTGAGTAACGGGTTAAAACCCTATTATCTAAGAAAATCCAATGAGCTATTCTCTCTGAATAACAATGTTAAAATTGATTAGCTGTAAGTACATAAAGTTTTAATGTAAATGATAAGAGCTCTACTGCATAATATTCAATAAAAAAAGATGAAATGCCTAGTGGGAATAATAAAATCTGAAGCTAACTAAAGGACAAATAGTGGTTTAGTGTTCATGCCAGTCAAATTTCTTCATACCTAACCAACATAATAAAATGAGAAAACAATCCATACCCTAAGTCTAAAGCTCATACCCATGCTTCCATCCACTGTGGCCCCTCAGCACTATGTAATGCACACTTTGCACAGCCAGCTATAGCATCATCAATCAGAAGCTGCTTTAATGTACACAGTCATCTATTAATTGACAGCTACCTGTGTTCACTATGAATGCCCCTATAAAACCAAACCATTTTCTTTAACTAAAAAGATCGCAAATGTCCTGTTAGCATTCACATTATTTCTACTAATTTAAGAAGGAAGAGAAATGCAAACAACTTAAATGAAGGAAAAAGCAAAGACCACTTTGGAACATCACAATTACCTGGCTTTACATGCTGCAAGCATTCTGCATTTGGAATTTGCGTAGTATCATCTGATAGGAGCAACGAAGTGAAACAAGATCACTTTCCGTCAACAAATCATTGAGGGTGTCCATTCTTTGAGCAGCAGCAGGAAATGCGATTGGCGAGCATCTAGATTTTCCTTTCGCCTTAACATATATAAAACAAATTCCATAATAAGAGAAGATTTTCCAATAGTGGATTCAGAAACAAACTCTCTTGCAATTCTATCAGCAAAAAAGGAAGAAGAATTAGATGTTGAGCCTATACATTATACTTATGAGGGGTACAGTTTAGCTTACATATTGTTGTAACTTGTAAGACTATATATAACAAGAAACTCTTACAACTTGGCATATTTCTAGTTATGTTCAGGCACAGGAAACATGTCTCAATTTGACTGGAGAACCAAAATATTGGTTGTCGCTTATTAAGATGCACTTCTTGTATTTGTTGATTTTAACAATATATCATCAAAATAGTCTAACCTAAACTTGTTTATTAAGATGTACACAAAAGGCTAGCTAAAACTAAAGAGGGAGCTTAGAGAATAAATAATCACATGCCTTAGATTGATGAGATACTCTTACACCCATAATGATGTTAAATGTTATTTTATCTGTCACTCCATTTTTTTTCTTTTTCTTTTCTTTCACCTAGAAATTCAAACAAAGAAAATCACACAAAAGAACAAAAGAATCTCATAATTTCTTTCTTTTGGACTTAAAGCAACAATAGCTACTTGAACACCCAATTTCTCTTACTTATTTCCGACAACTACAATTATCTATAAGTTCATCTTTTTCGTAAATATCAGTAATAAAACATAACTAGAAGTTGTAGGAGCCAGCACAATTAAACCCTTACCTGAAATCCATGCTATATAACCTATTCCTTTTCAAATAAAAAATAATTTTCACAAGAAATTTCTAACTTTGGTTATGAAAATTTGGCAATATACCCAACTATGAAAGAAAAGTTACTGAAAAGAGGCAGATTTACCTCGTCATGGAGATCAAAGTAGAGGACACTCATCTTGAAAGTCGGGCTCCTGGTGGCCAAGCACCGAGCAGAGGCGGACTTCCCGATGATTCCTAGCACGAGGCCACGGCACCGGCGCATCCCCCGGCATAGTGGCTGGATGGATCCGAGCCACCCGGAGGCGGCGGATAACGATGAGGAGTGTCGGGACAGGAGGAGGGTCCGGCGTAGGAGGCCGAGGAAGAGGGCCATGACGATGTCGGCCACCTCCACCGCCCGGTTAGCATCGACGTGTACGAGGCGGAGACCCAGGTCGGAAGCGAGGGCGGAGTTGACGGCGCGGTCCGGGGAGCCGAAGCAAAGGATGAGTTGCCAGGGGCGGAGACGGCGTTGGGCAGCGCGGGGGAGGAGAACGAGGGAGTGAAGGAGGACAACTGCCGCGGACTCGATAGGGCCGCCGGCAAGGCCGGAGAGGCCGACGTGCTCCACAACGGCCGGGCGGCGAGGGCCTCGCGCTCCAAGGACGGGTCCTCGAGGCAGTTGAGGAAGACCACAGCGGGAGGTCCGCCGCCATCCGATTCGGATCCGACGGCGACCGCCGCATGCCCCGGTAGTGCATTCTTTCTCCAACGCAAGACCGCTTCTTCCACTCGGCTTCGAGAACTCGGGACCTGCCAAACGGAGCGACCGCTTCTTGATTTTAATTACGACCGTCGATCTATTCATCAACGGCCCATAGTTGCTTCAGGCAACTTCTTATCTTGATTTCGTGATTCCAAAAGCGAGAGGTTGGGGACTCATCACGGGAATAATACCTACCGTTTGTTCTCCATTTCGTAAAAATGTTTTTTCACTGTTTTTTCTAAAGACGAAAACATTTTTTGTACGGTGATTCCAACAACTTTTAAATCTAAATTGCAACCATAGCAGGAACGGTTCATAATTTGATTTGATTGGCATCGTGGTAATTGTACTGTTCAAACCATAAGCCTGTTGAGGTGGGGCCTTCAACTAGTACTCAGCAAAGCCCAGAGCTGGTATGCCTAACTAATAATGTTGCTCGGCACTGGACGGGCCGTGGTCATGATTGAGCTGTTGCCGATTGTAGACGACCCTGCATCTCATTCATCAGCATCAGCATAGGGAACCTTCTAATATTTGGGCCTACCTACCTATGACACTGATACATTTCATGCCAAGAGTGGAGAATCTCTATCACTCTTCGTCTTGATAGCTCTTATATCATATGAATTTGTCCCTCTAAGATACAGAAATATACACAAAAGATGGTGACAACGACATGGACAGCAGAGAAGAACAAGTTCGTCACAATTTGGAGGACATGGAGACAACAATGCTATCAGATAGAGAAGTTTCTTATAGCGCCTGCTAAAGTAATTAATCAACCACATGGTTTAACAGTAGCAAACAGAAACTTTTAGATGTGATGGCAGCAGTAATGACTGCAGTGGTTGGTCTCTGAAACCAACAAGGAAGATGACATCTATACGAGCTCCGGCGCATTGTGTTCTGCTCCCATGCACAAGCAGTGGCCATTGCTTCGACAGAATGTGCCCTTCGAATCCGCCTTGTCCTCCTTGCCCACCCTGGCCACTGCCAAGAAACCAAACTCACGGACCGAAAGTACTCTAATGGTTTCCTCTGCTTAATTCCATGATAGACTAATCTTCGTAAACAAACGGGAAGTGACAAAACTAAGATAGAACATGAACCTTAGCATTTACCATCGTGTAATTAATTCGTTGAAGAACATAGATGAAGAATAGCGATAAGATACATAGATTCTTGTGCTTGTTACAAGTGCCGAGGAACGGGAAGTCTGGTACGGTTGCGGTGGTGAAGAAGGTCGGGAGTGGTCTCGTAGCCGGCGAATACTTCTTCCCAGATCTCGGCGAATGCTCGGAGAATTGTGTCATGGTGGCGTGGTGAGTTGAGAGCAAGAAAGCGGCGGAGCAGCTCCCGTAGCTCCTCGCCATCGACGATCTCCTTATCGATGATCATCTGAAGCATTGATCTCCGGAACTCTCCCAGTGGGTCCTTCGTCTCCTTCACCACCGCCACGCTCTCCTCCACTTTCCGCCCTCCTCCTTCACTGCCGCTTCGCTGATGCAATCTCTTCTTCTCCCCTTCTTTGATATGAGCGGGGGATGGGAGAGTGCACCGTCCCCACGAAGTCACGTCCTGCTCCAGCTCGTTCAGCTGGCGCAGGAGACCGAAGAGGCTGGGCGTGCTAGCGGAGCTCTCCATCTTCACCTCCTCCTCCCCGTAGGAGAAGGTGGAGGGGGAGGACAAGGTCATGGTGTCCGCAGACGACAGCTCCCTGGCCCTCCGCGTCAATGGCGCCGGTGTCACGGATTTCGCATCGACGGAGCTCGACGACACCGACACTGACACCGATTTGGAGTCCTTGCAGCCACAGCCGAGGCCCAGAAAGGTGCCGCTGCTGCTCCTCTTCTGCGTGGCACTCGTACTCATCTTTCCTCTCTTCTGGTAGCGATCTATTGCAGTGTGGGGACTGTTTATACCGGAGTACAACCTCCTCCTCCTCCTCCCACCCCTATGTAGTAGCTCACGGATGTAATCACCTCAGTAATATTCTCCCCTTGATTCAAAGTGTGATGTTCGACATGATGATTGGCCTTCATAGAGACGTGTTAGAACTACGCTTGCATCACACGAGTACTTAAATAACAGGGAGACAATTGGATTATGGACAAGTTGAGAAGAAGCCTTAAATCTTTTGCGGAATCGTCTTCAACATGTTTATCTAAAGACACCTCTTCGGGTAGGAAATTCCAGTCACCATTGCAGGATTCGTGTACTGTTCCAATATGTTTATCCTTATATAGTTGTTTATGAGAAGAATAAAAGCCAAGATCATGAGATAAGAAAAGGATGCAGCTTGTATCGGTTAGACTACATGGCTTAGAAAATACACAGTAGTCTAAAGCAGAAACTTTTCATAGAAAATTGACATCAACTTTTTAGATTAAAGGATTCAAATGGTTTCTAATACGAAAATAAATATGCCTATGATATCGATACAGATGAACGAACTCTTAGGTAAAGAAAGTGATGCGCAGCGGACCTACCTGGCGGCTGTAGTCAGTCTAATTGAAGGCCTTTAAGCCGGCAGGTAGCTGAGAAGAAAGAAAAGCTTTTGGTTCTGTGGGTGATGATGAATTGATTGCATGATTACATTTATGTGGACCGATCTGTCTTGATGGATAAGCTAAGTTATAATAACACCTGCTTCAACCAACCAAAATAAGAAAACCTTCATGTTTGACAGTAGGCTCCTTTCGGTGAGGCTGGCTTTTCATCTAACATCCACCCAAGGGTAGGGACACTGTGTATGCTGCTTGTATTGATCCAAGTAATAATGTATTGAGAAGGTCTTGATGATATATATCTAAGCAATAATCATCTAATTAAGAGAAATGGATGGCAAAAGTATCATCTATCACATCACAAAAATAGCACATACACAACAATTCAGACTCAAGAGGAACCCAGAAAAGACCCAACAATTGGACCAGCCCAGATTCCATGACCTGTTTGATTTAGATCCACAAGTTGATTAGCCGCTGATAATAAACAGTAGAAATCACGAATGAATTATGAGACATACTATTCCATAATGTAAAGGAGTACCACTATAACAGGTAGATAGAAGAACCACCATGTGGTAGGCAGAAACACTACCTGCTTTATGGTATGCTTCTACACCCTTGCAATCACAGACAAATAGACAAGTCTGGTGATACACAGCATCTCTCATCAAAAAGCTACATAACCAGATCCAAAGGAATAACATTGAATGCATGATGCCAAGGCTTGTGTCCTACAGTGTGGGTTACCTAAGCGTATCCTGAATCTTCTTTTCCTTGCAGGACACGTCATTGGAGTGCAAGCTCCTGTAGTGTGTTGATCACTGTGATGAAGAAAACTACGGGCCTCAACACCATGAGTCCCCTTAAATACTATTCCACTGCTGTGAATACTGTCATTAACCCTTACCATGCGCAGGATGGCTTTCACTCTTCAAATATGTACCGTAATTTGTGTTTCTTATATCAAAAGATGTGAAACCTAAACATTTTGAATCTGAAGAACAACAGGCTACAGGAGCTTTCATTCCGCGAGGACATTCTTTTGTCCAAGTCTGATAAGGTTCATTCCAAAGAACCGTCCTGCTGAAGTAGGTTACGTGCTGTCTTCTTCTTGCAATACAATGGAAAAAGATTTCAGATCAAACTATCACCAAACTATGAACATCATTTTAAGATTGTTTTTCCACTAGAGGAAGTGCAAAATACTAGCTTTCTTGATTTCCTGAAGAGAAAGCAGCGCCAAGGTTACATGCATGAACATGAGATCGAGTTCACTGCTCACTGGTCTGCATCTTACTGAGGCAACAAGTGAGAAAGGAAGCTCACATTTTGGCTGAGAAAAACTGAAAAAAAGAAAGATGAAAAAGAAGATGCATGATCATGATATCAAATTCACTGCATAATGGCCCATATATATCTTACTGAGGTAGCCAGGAGGCTAGCTTTCGGGCAAGACTTCTTCATCTTGATCCATGAGATGCATCAACAAATCCACAAAAGCCAGCACTATGACCTTGCGGTTCTTCCTCTCATTCAGCCTCAGATACCAATTAGGAAGCTCTTGAAGGCTGTCCCACTCCTTCAGCTCGTGTGCCACCACCATCTCCTCCATGGATGCTCTGAAGTCCTGGTACGGGTCCTCGGAAGACATGGTCATCGTTACACTCTCGTCATAGAAGGCGGCCTTCATCGACAACGTGTTGCCTAAGGCTAGAACTTTTCGGGTGCCCAGCTCGGGTTTAGCCTCCTCCATTATGGATTTTGTTGCGTGCGGAGAGAAGAAGAACCTCTTGGAACTTATGGGGCCTCTTGGGAGGTCTTCGTCATGCTCTGCGCTGGTAGAGGAGGAAGACATGGTGGTATCAACGGCGGCAGCATCACCAAAGACCAAATCCTCCGCGAGGTAGATGGAGGAAGAGGTAGAGGAGGTGCTACATGGACAATGGAACGTAGAGTAGAGGTCTACATCAAAATGTATTTTGATGTAGTGGCTTATGTAAAACCGTGGTAATAGATGCGGTTTTACATAAGCCACTCCATCAAAATGCATTTCAACCTAAAAAAAATCATGGTAATAGATGTGGTTTTGAACCCGAGCGGCATAACCATTGCATTCAGTCTTGAAGGCTCACCAATGTTTTGTGTGGGATGAGATCATCATGAAAATTCATCCAAATAATTCATAAGTATGAACTAAAAGATTTATCTTGGACTTCTTTACTTTATTAGTGTCTTCGTGAATAATTTCAAGTGTGTGTCAAATATCAAAAATCGTTTCATAAATAGATACTCGATTGAACTCGTTTTTATCCGAAATACAAAACAAGACATTCCTTGTGTTTAAAACCAAAGTCTTCTTCTCCAATTCGTTTCAATCATTCATCTTTAACTTATTTCAATCGTTCATTAACAGAAAAGACTTTTAAAAATTATTTTACACGATGTTTCATAACTTAAAATTCATAATAATTAAAAAATTCCCGTCATTTCAATTCATGAGCTTCGAGTTGCAACTTGCAGTTGGTCTCTCCTTTTCTTCTACCTCTTTCCATGGCAGTAGGCTCCCCCAATCGTTTTTCCGAGCTTTAAACTCACTTTGTAGTTACATAAAGACACCCACGAAGAAGATGAGATCGAGGCCCCCATCCATCTGTTACGTCTTGTGATTGTGGAGCAAGCAACATGTCCTTTCCCACAATCTCCGGCAGTTTGGGGGGCCCTCCATGCGTTGCTCCAAATCCCTTCCGTGTCGAAGACTTCCCATTCATTCATTAATTCCAAGGGCGAGTCCCCAAGCCGATTGATAGCTTTGAAGAAGACTGACTGCCTCAGCGAGTCCCCAAGTCGTCATTGCCCCCATATACCACCGGGCCACATCTCCCTTCTCCATTCCCAAATACCACCACCACCACCAGTCCTGGGCTGGTCAACCGTGATTTGGCTTTCTCTTCTTGCAACAAGTAGAAAAGCAGAAGAAGAATGCAGAGAAGTCTACCTACCATATATATCCTTCTCTTCATCTTCAACAGAGGGGGTAAAACCATGTGCTTTCATATTATTAAGCTCTTGCGACCAAGGGAATTATGTTTGTGTTCTTTACAATAATATCCACAAATCCCTCAGAAAATAATCGATATGGATATAAAAATGAAGTCATGCATAGCCTAAGCTGGGCACCTCCTTTTTATTCTTATATATGATTCACGAGCTTTGAGTAACAAAGGAAGAATTATTCGATTAGTCGTACACCAACGAGATGTTGACTTCCTAATCATCCATGATCACGTTGGCAAATTATTATAGAGTGCATTTTGTGGATAACAATAGACTTAAAAGTTGATCAAGTTAAAAATATGATGGAGAAAGAAATAAAAGTCTTAACTTTGTTGACTTCGAATTTTCATGGTTGTAAAACCTCTTCTCATCTGCTTATAGAAGGTGAGAGTACAATACATTCATAAAACTATCGAGATATTCTTTGTTTTTCTGAAATATTCATGCATTTTTTTAAGATGCCAAAATCTTCTTTCATCCAATAATTTCAACATATCAACCGATCTGATTCGAATAATTTGTCAAATAAAACAAGTAAAACAAAAGAAAAGGAACAGAAAATAATAGTAGATATCAAAGAATAGGGAACTCCTGCATTCCCTCTCCTCTGATCATCTCTTCTGGTCCGGAAGACGCAGGCGGTGCAGCAGCGAATTGCAGCTGAAGACTTCGGCAGATGCCCGAAGCGAAGATGGACAGCCACGCGACGACCGGCGTACCCGCGAGGACGAGGCCCACAGGCACCATCCATAGCTGCTCGTTAGACTGGTGGAAGGAGAGAGCCCACCACGCCAGCAGCGTGCCGCCGCCGACACCGGCCAGTAGCATGCAGCCGTTGGCCAACACCTGCCGAACCTTGTGCCCGCCGGCCGACGTGCCGCGGTGGCGGGCGGGGCCTCTATCCTCCTGCACCGGCTCATCCATGGATACGGTTGAGACCTTCCTCATATCTGAGATGCTGATATCCTCCGTTCAATGAAAGCCGGGGGACATGTAACATGTAGGATGCTAAGTCTGCTAATAATACAGAGAAGAACACTCACGCTGGCTTTCCTGCGACTTGTATAGGAGTCATTGTGCACTGATGTCACACTCCCTTCACGAGCCTCTCACTACGCTGGAGAGAATGGAAAGAAGACCCAAGCTTTGATGGCGATTGCAACATTTCCCAAGGTTTCAGTATTTGGATTTGGTTTCTCTTAACAGGCTGGTCCACATAAAATAGCATCACCTTTTCTTGGAGTCTAATCTGGCTGAAATAACAAAACCTGAACACAGGGAATTCACTGCAGTACTTTCTCTCGAGAGCGATGAGATCGACGCGAGGCATCGACGCTCTAATCTACAAATGGCTACGGAATTAACATGTTTAGGTCTCTACATCCCATGCACTGTGTTGTGACTCCCATTTCTGTGCAACAAGTGATTCGTATCAGAAAGTAAATATCTTTTAATCAAATCAAAAAATACAACAAAACAAAGAGCATAAGCACAAGTAAATTGAAGGGCGAATTGTCCTTTTTAGGTTTTCATGGAGAAGCGTCCCATATTTTTAGAATATTCAAGTAACTCAATTTTCCATCTCTTTTTTTAGTCCTATAGATCGATCGATAGGGTGAATCATCCAATTATAATATTTTTATATATTTTCAGTAATACTAAAAAAATCATAATATATGAGAAAACAGTATGCTATAGTATTATTTTAGTATTATTGAAAATAAAATTATTGTGTTATAGTATTTTTCTAGTATTATCACTATAACATTATTTTTATAATAATTATACTGATTTGGATCCATCTATAGGAAAAGAGAGAAAAAAAAATGTTATTCTAAATATTAGGTAAATATTATTTGAAAATATTGAAAATAAGAGATGATTCTCAGGAAAAAAACTCTCTTTTCGAGTGTTTTTTTCTCCAGAAAGTCGTCAAAAATTGAATGCTAAACATTTGATTGGAAGTTGTCGAGTAAATCGAAGGGTTTCGGAAAACAACAAGAGTTGCTTGTTACACCCAAATGCCTTGCGTTAGTGCGACATAGCATATCATCTCTTCAGGGTCATGTCCGACCACTTCATGTGACCATTTTGTCTCGTTTTGGTCTTATCTAACTATAATTGTAATCGAGCCACGTATTGAATGAAGTGGCGCACCAACCTGTCCGAGCGTAATAGGGTGAGTCACGACGAGTCTCCCTCGCCTGAGCCATGAGTCCCATTCACAAAGGTGTGGTGACACTGAATCTTGTATGGACTCAAAACAAATACAATTATCTTATTACTTAAAAGAATTAATAGATTTTAACTGTATCTGAAAATATATCTTTGTTCTTGTTGATGGAGGATCACGAGAACCTACATGATTCCGATGTGTGGCCCATCCAAGTCAGGGAAGTCAACACTGACGGAGTGCGATACAGGTTGGTGTTGTGATCTGTAAAGGTTAAGATGACAAATCAATCCATATTATTGGGTGAGGACACGGACCGCTCGGTGGAAATGCAGCAGCATATTGGAGGAGAGGAGAGGAGAGAACTAAAACCACGCTGAGATGACGTTGAAAAGATCATTTTAGGTTATGAAAGAGAAGCATCCAAATTGAACATTATTATTGAAGGAATCATCCATCATATATGAAGGAAAAAAAGACAAGCCCTTCGTTCTTTGTACATCAAATCTATCATAAAATGTGTAAGGATACAACTGAGCGAGTTATCCTCACATCAAATCAGTTAGCCTTATGCTGTGTTTCTATAGAAGTTGTTCATGAAATCAGCATGTCACTCAACACTATCAAATCCTAGAACGAAAAATATCTAATGTTCATACAAAATCTTCTTATGTAGTTTAGCAGACTGGCAGTTTGTAGTTTAACATCAAGCTGTGGCTGCGGTTTCTCATGTCTCATTGGGTGAGAAGAGAGGATCATCTAGCTGGAAGCTAACACACAGGACTTGACACCAGAAGTTCACTGAATTGTTTTCATTATATGAGATGAGCTTCCGTGCAAGTAAAACAATACAGCAAGAGACTTTCCGAACTCTCACTGAAATTATTCGTTGCTCAAACTGGATAGAAGAAACCATGTGGAACTCCACCATAAGCTCAGCTTAAGACTCAAACCGGTAAGTCCCTGTAGGAAGGTCATCTTTGGTTATGACTTCCTAAACACCAAATGGGATTTCCATCATCTGCCCACCTGCATTGCTTACCCTGTCTTATTTTCAGAATTTAGCTCACCAACACTGTACCATTAAAATCTGTTTAGAACATTATGGTCGACTTATCACACGATCGTCTCTCCAAGTGTTTTCCCCTTGATTTACCGTGGTGTAACTTTGCAGTCTCTTGTGAAATGTAAGCTACTATTCTTTCCACTTCTCAGCGGATTTAATGTGGTACAGATAGGTGGAGCGTTGAGTTCCTAACAAGCTTTCTTATGGGGATAAACTGCACAGAAAAATCATGGAAGTTTAATATTTGTTGTGTGCTACACGTGTGCTGATCCAAAGTCTTATATATGCTGAGAACACAATGAACCCTAATCAGGAACAAAATGTCTTGTAGTATTAGTCTAGGAGAACTTATATAGAGGCGTGAATCAGACCAAGGTAGAAGAAACCTCCGGTACTGTGAGGAAGAAGATACATGATCTGCGTACCATGGGTTGGGAATGTCGAATGTAGAACAAAGACAGTCAATGCTCTCTCACGGGCAACAGCTTCATCGAGGTCATGAGCATGTGAATCTCGCATTTATAGCACCATTTGATCGTTTCTGACATGAAACACATAACACTGACATGACGAGCATTTAATGCGTGCAGACGGCGTGTTCGCATATCAATCCACGCGGTTGTACAAAAGACCTTGAAGAGCGGAATGCTCATGCAGCTCAAGGTCAATACTTCTTTCTGAAGACTGTGGGCTTATAATATCTTTTCTCTGGCAAGCAAACGCAAAAGAATAACGAGAAGCTGCAAGCTTTTCGGTACTTGGAAAGAAATTCAAACTACTTAAGAATATAAAGTACAGAAAGAGAAAAAGGCAATAGTATTTCTATTTTATGTGTTGATATCATATCAGCGACTAGCATTGTTCCAAATCTCTTCGAGCTCTCTGGCAAAGGCTTTTTGCCGGCCGACGACGATGGTTATGTGATCCTTATCGTCAACAATCCTCACACGAGCTCGAGGGACCTTCGACTGGATGGCGTGGCTGCAGTCGATCGGCAGGAGCTCGTCGTCCCTTCCGTGGAAGACGATCACGTCGCAACTGAGCTGCTCTCTCACCACGTCGAGGTAGCCATCGACCTTGGCAGCGCTGCCACAGATGATGTTGTGGAAGGTATGCCATGAGGCGTTGTGGGTGTGGCAGAAGAAGCCATCCATCAAATACGTTCTAATCCTGCAACCACACAACAAGTCAGGTACTTGTGATATACGAACTCTCAACTTAGTTTAAGGGACATGAAGTCTCCACTAGGATGGTGGGGTGGACGCCACATCCGACACTTCAATGGGGTAAGTGCTTCAAAAGTACTGTACTCTGTTACTGGATCATAAGAGCCTAGTGGGATGGTGGACGATGGCGTATTAGTGACTGTACTGGTGACCTTATTGAATCTGGAATACTTGCTGTTTTGAGTATAACAAAGTATCTACCAGATGTACTTACTATCAAATTATGGAATATAACTTCGATTAATCTAACACCACCGGACGACAATGGTGGTTCAACACCACCGTTGCCCTGCAATCGTAGTGACGAACTAGTGAGTTAATGGACCGTCCTTCGACTTAATTTTCTTACCCACTGGTTCATGTAGGTGCCACCAGCCATATCTAATTCTCAACCGAAACAGGGTCCGTTGACTGGACTTGAAGTTTTCTTCCTGAGATAAATTGTGTTCTGGAATTAGTGACAGACAGAGTCGAAGATGTGAACACCATATTTGGATAGGAGCACAAAGAGCCATCAACGTAGAAGTTATTGAGGCTGTGACGTGAATTAATATGGTTTTGAACTTTGAACTAAGGAACAATAGATTTGCTACAGTACCGACCTGTTGCAGGTGACGAACTTGAAGGCCAGCTCCCACCGCCGGTGGTTCTTGCACATGATGAGGCTCACCGTCCGACTGATGTGCTCGTACCAGCACAGCACCGAGGCCCCGAAAGCCATCAACGGCCACACTCTCCGTGGCGCCACCCGCCGCAGCACATACTGCGTCCTCTGCTCCCCTTTTGGCACTGGAAAATACGGCTGCCGAAACGCAGAGCCGCCCTTCCTCGTTTTAGCTTATGAGTGAAACATGATCGCAGAGCGCACATTAGAAAGTACCATGATAAAAATGGAGGAATGACTTTGTTACCGGAGAAAGAAGAGTGAGCGACTTGACGGCGCCGGGGTGCTTGACGGCCAGGGCCAGCGCGAGGATGGACCCAAGAGAATGCGCCACGATGTGGAAGGACTTGACATCGAAGCGATCCAAGACGGACCGCTCGATCATGCCGACGTGCTCCCTCAAGGTGTACAGGGAGTCCGGCGGCTTCGGGCTCTTCCCGAACCCCAGCAGGTCCACCGCGAACAGGCGATACCTCGACCTTGTAGTCTCGCTCAAGTTCGGAAACACCGTCTCTGTCCAGAACGCCGAGGACGATATGAATCCGTGAATGAACAGCACATCCTCCTCCGCCATCTTCCCGTCTGTCCAGCATCAAGCAAATGAGATCATCGTTTATGGTTTCACTTGGTTACAGAGCTGCACTTAGTGATTCATATGATTCGGTAATACCACCTTGTGGACCTTCGGCATGGACGAACAGGGTATCGCGCGACCCGGAAGGGGAACTCCAATGAGTGCAACTTTCACAGCCACAGTCGATCCAGCTCCGGGCGGCGTGCGGCTTGTGGCCGCCAATCTTGCCCTGGAGCAAGTGAATGATGGTGGAGTTAGTGGTGAAGGTGGTGGCGGTTGCCGTGGAGGACCGGACGCGGGCAGAAGCTGTAGAAACCGCACCGCGGTGCCCGAAAAGCTTGAGCTTGCGGAGCTCATTGACAATGGTTTTCGAGACCTCAGCAACGAGCGAGGACCGAGAGTAGAGCGTGTCGGAGATATCGTCTAGTTGCAGCTTGGTGGAGGAGGTCAACGAAAGGACTTTTGAGCCACTCCTTTCAGCGACAAGGATCATATCTCGCGCGGAGGAGCAGTAACAGGGCTTCCACTCGGCCTCCAGCGCGTAATCAGCCAACTTGTACACCAAACAGAGGAACACATCCAACAAGTCTAGCAGAGTAAACACAACGAGGCTCAGGACATCGTTTATGACCCGTGCGGCGATCACCATTGCCGGCAGCCAAGGCTTGGCCTCTTTTTACGAGAACACTGCAATGTTGGTATGTAGGATGTGGATGAAAACTTCCACCAGACGTCAGAAGAAGAAGAAGCTAGGGAAGAGGAAGAGAATAGTAGCAGCAGGAGAGTGCTTGATCTCCGAGGGAGTGGGCATCTGGAGTTCTCTACCATGCAGCCAACTAATGGAATCCTGAAACAGGTGCAGTGAGGAATTAAAAGAGACAAGGTTAAGGATGGCTTGCAAACGAAGCTGCCATGTGTGTAGCAGAGCGGTCGGAGATGGAGGAGGTGCAGAGAATGGCGGGGCAGTGTTCGATGATGCTGAATTGATGGCGGTCATTAACATCGCTTGTTCAAGAAAGGAGAAGGGGTAGGTGGTAGTTGAACTCCCTGGCTACCATTTGCCCTCGATCTTTCATGGTACTGTACAGACAATACACTGCAAAGACAGATGAAAGGCACGTGAATATGTAATGGGGCTTCCCCCATGATTTTAATTCGGAAACTGAACCCAACCAGCATCCAAACCAAATCAAATAACCCAATGTGATGAAGCTCGATCAATCGAATCTGGGAATTGGAATGAGGTCAAGTCAAGGGTTTGAGAAATAGAAGACAAAGGTTTAGGTGTCTCATTAGACTTATATTGAACACATAATCAGTAGATATAGAATGTGGAATGATGATTATGGAAAAATTGATTAGGGGCCAACCCTCTCTCTATTCTCAAAGGTATTACAAATTCTATGTTTCGTTTGTGGGTTATTAATTTTTTTTAAATTAAAATTTAATTTTGTTGATAAAAAAAAAAAGGTTAACACTTTAATTGAGGATAGACAGGTCCAATGGATTTGATTCTCCTGTATCATCCGGGGACTACGGCGTAGTGGCCTAGTACATCCGTAGTCGATGAGTCGAGTGAATTATTACAAAGATAATAATTCACTGAGTTAGAAAGAGTTCTGACAGGTATGACTCACGGCCAGCTCGATATTGGGCCTAAAGGGTCACACACGTATGATAGGTATTACGATGAGTAGAGGTTCTGATATGAGATATCCGACGGAGCCCTTGTCTTATTGGATGCAGATCCAATACCCACTAGGGGAGGACCCATTAGGGTTTGACAGGGGACCTCTATAAATAGGAGGGATTCAGAGCCTCATATGCTAGAGCCTTTGCTTGCCTCTCCTATTCTCCTCCCCCTCTCCACCTCAGAGCAGGCCTGGAGTTTTGAGGAGCGTCGTCGCAGCTTTACTGTGTGGATCACCGCTAGAGAGGATGACGCTTGACCTCCTTCACCCTCTCCTAAGGATCTGTAAAGAAACAGGGATATATAAATCTCCCTAGGTAACACAATCTACTCTATACGCAGTTTTAAGTTTTGCGGATTTTGCGCACCAATCTTCGCACGACGACGAACATCTCTTTTGGAATCGGGGATTTTGTTTTCTTGTTCTTCCGCTGCGCATGTGATGTCGCCCCCAAGATTTCCCAACAACTAGATCATACGGAGGTATGATCGGGAGCTATTGGAAGCTCTACTTCGATGAATAACACGACGACAAGAAGGGCTATGGATTCAAGGAGTGAAGGCCATGGTACCGCAGAGGCGGGTCTTCCGTGCGTGCATCGAAGGTTGCATCGGATGAAAACCTTGGTCATCAGCATATGGGGGCTGAGTTCCACCAAGGGAAAAGTTTGAATGCAAGTACCAGTGAGTCACATGGGAGGGACTTAATCATGCAGAGGTATGATCAAAGCAACTAGAGAGTTAGATTGCTCTAGAGCTCATATTCGCTTAAGGGAGCCCAGCAAGTCAGATGACAAGGTCGAGTAAGCGAACGTTGCTACCAAGGAAGCTAAGGAGAACAGAATCGGTGCAAACCCTACAACGTGATGGCAGAGGCCATGCATGGGAGTTGTAGTCTATCTTTCCATCGACAAAAGGGAGCTGCTTGGAGAACACAAAGGTGTTAAAGCAGGGGGTCGAAAGGGGCGAGGAAGCGACGATGAGTCCAGAGGGACTTAGCTACCCAAAATCAAGCATCAATTAGAATGAAAGTTGACTCAGAGGAGTGCCACAGAGGCATATCTACTGATTGTGAAGAAAAGGGATGCAGATGCGAGGCGACGGATAGTAGTGCCATATTACCGTAGAGGCGGGACTTCCGTGAAAGTTATTGATCCCTTGCTCTCATGGAGGGAGAGCGCTTGGTCATGAAAGGGGCCGAGGAGGTGGAGTATGCAGAGGCAAACTCCAAGTACCGAGACAATGCTGAAGGGCAGAGGCTAAGGAACTTTGTAAGACCGGTGTCAATGAGTTTCTCATCAAGATAGCCGAAAGTGAAGGACTTCGGGTTATGCAAGAGTGCACGACCAAGGAACGAAGCAGACAGTACGTGGTGCTGTACCTTCGCTACTCAGGGGAGTAGGCGACAGGGTTGATGGAGAAGACGGTACAATCCCAGAGGCGACCAAATCTATTAGAGAATTACTCCAAGTTGGGGTGAAAACTTCCTGCATTCCAGAAGTTCGATGGCATTGAGAAGGTGAATCATAGTAGCTAACTCAACGCAAGGAGTGCAAACACTTCAAGTGCTTCAGAAGTGTGAGCAAAGAGCAGGCGAAGGCCAGTAACCAGCTCGATGCATGGAGTATAACCTCGAGGAGGCGGGCGAAGTCAAGTAACCTTTGCCTTCTCAACTCTTAAGAGAATGAGCGAAACCGAGTACCCTAATTCTCTTATCTATCCAGCAGGGGAACTCTGCATATGTTCAAAGAACCTTCGAAGATAATGGAAGACAATAGTTGTCAAATCCTCACCAACGATGATGAGTGTTACTGAGAGTAGATTGTCCGTTTTATTTCCCAACGAAATGTCAATCGAAAGCGGAAGTGATGCGAACCTACTTGGATGTGACAACTAAGTGAAAGAAGAGTCCATGAGCAAATTTTGTGGAGGAAGGACCCAAAACTTCAGAAGTTTGTGAGACGATGCTCGTTAAAGCTCCGACAAGCATCCACCCAGTTCAAGCAGAATGATGCATTTGAGATACTGGTGTAGTAAGGATGGTCTTTTCCTTCATCTGGAGGATCCGCAGGAACCAACAGGGATCAACACAACTCAGCCAACTCCACACTAGAGTCAGAGTCATTGGCGAGTTGAAGCAGCATGGTGGATCAAAGGTTCGACTACTCAAAAACAGCAGCGGAGAGCAGCTGGGAGCCAAGAGACGCATTGCAGCTGGAGCAGAAGATTGAAGACTCAGCAAAGGCGAGGAGTTGTACTGTCGATAAAGGCTTCGACGAGGACGTCGAAGGAATAAGTGGGGGAGAATGTCAGGGACAAACTTCTAAACAGGATGTTTGATGTAATGCTTATGTATGTCCGTGTCTTTTGGTATGTTCATGCTTTGTACAACATGTAGAGGGACGGCCGAAGGCTTAATAGTCCCATTTTAGTTAGGTTGGTGGCCGCTTTAGGCTTGTAAATAAAGGTTGTGTCATGTGGACACGTGTGAGAGATTTTTGATCTATAATGGACTATTTTACCCTTTGTTGTGCAACTGTTCAGAGCTTGTAAAGTCTGTTTGTAATTTGCATTGTCTATGAAGTGTTTTCGGAAATGTTTGCTTGTGGATCCCGAATAAGACGTTTTTTCTAACCTTTTCTCTCTTTTGTGGGTCATAAGGGACATGGGTCGGGGAGGTTGACATTTGCGGACGGACACGTAAGGGTGCCGCACGACTTAGGCAAAACCAGCTAAGTCCGTGACAATGCGGTGTTTTAAATATTAAATTATTCATTACATTTATAGTCACCGGTCTCTTGTATATTCATTTATGTATGATCGGAAAGGGCAGACGTGGGGACCAAGCAAAACGCACGAATCTTTAAGTTTTTGATCTCAAATGCAACCGTCTGCATGCGTGCTTTGTCTCTTATACCGCAACGGAGATGTTATCGGGTAGGCTTCAAATTTAAATTGAAGATCCAATAATGGTACACTGTGTCAAACTAGGATGAGAAACTGAGTTGTTCACGGATATCAAAGTGCGATCCGCACCTGATCCGAAAACGTTATTGGATCCGCAGCAGTAGCAACAGCAACAACCCACAACAGCACGAAGCAGCAGGGTGCATTGGAAGGATGCACAGCATGCGAAGTGCAGCTCCCTCTCCTCTCCCCTGCTCATCCCAGTCGAAGCTGCAACCATCTCAGCGGCCACCAGGAAAGCTCGACCTGAACACTCTCTCCAGCACGGTGAACGTCCAGTGCGGCAAGTCATTTTTGCTTACCTGCTGCTTGAGAGCCTCAAGCAATAAGCGCGGGTCTTGCTTCCTCTCCTGAGCTATTTCCTCACACGAAGCTGCTTGCACTGCATGCGTCACCTTGTAGCGGCGTACTTCGTCACTCAGCTCCACCCGTATGGAGCTGAGCTCGCCGAAGATGTTATGCACACGCTGGAGTGCCTCTCCATCTATCAGAAACATCCCCATATAATTCCGCCCTCCATCCTGTTTGTGCTCGTGGAGTGGAACCCCCCTGCTCCCGCCGGTCGGGTCCAGTTGCGCCCCTTCCACTTGCGGCTGTTGGTCAAGACAGTGTAACGGGATAACAGGATACGGACGCTTTGCAGAGACGCCGGGTGTCTGCGAAATCGCAGAGAGTTTCACGTTGCTAGGCCTGACAGGATCGACAATGGTAGTCGGCTTGACGGTGGCCGTGGATGATATGGGCTCGAAGACAAGGACCGAGTGGTGGGACAGTATGAAACGCCCATTCTCGCTGCAGATGACGGGTTGTGGCACACCCCACTTGTCACACAGTTTCTGTGCTGCTCCAACAACGGCGGATGCATACTCGTCAAGGTCGTCAACAACCGACATCTTGGTCTCACGATCACCGGACAGGCATCCATCGTTGCCCAAGCAGAAGTCGCCGCCTACGTCAATCGCTTGCATGCGAGCACCGAGTTTGGCCAGTTCGCAATAGGTCTCTGTGGCCTCGGCCACGGCGTCGAATACTGTGGCAGTGGATGGCGTTTGAGAGCCGATGTCCAAGCGGAGGAGTCGGAGGCGATCCATCATATCGTGCTCCTTTAGCTTCCTTACTGCACCTCTTATCTGGTCCCTCGTCAAGCCGATGGTGGATCCAAAGCACCCTGTGTGCGATGTGCAGAGCTTACCCTGGAGTCCGATCATCGGCCGGATATTGAACTCCGGCCAGGTATCGAGTGCCAACTCCACCTCCTCTTCTTTTTCCAGGACTAGATAGGTTTTGAAGCCCATAGCACTGGCTACTGAGGCAAGGCTGATGTAGTCCTTATCCTTGTAGCCATTGCATATAAGATAGGCCTCGGAGCTACCCCGGATGAGACCGTGCATGGCGAGAAATAGCTCCTGCTTGGACTCGACCTGGAGTCCGAAATTGAACCCACGGCCTGACCGCAGGACGTCATCGATGATGAGGAGGTCGTGGTTGCACTTCAGCGGGAAAACCCCCTGGTAGTGTGACCTGTAATTGCGGGATTTCATGGCACTACCAAAGGCATTGTGGAGGGACTCGAGGCGATGACGGATGAGGTCAAGGAATTGGATGAGAAGAGCGAGCTGGTGGTGTCGCCCAGAGTGCACCAGCTTGGTGGCCGCCTCGACGACCTCCACGATATCAATCTCCTGGTCTGGACCTGTGGTGGTGCCATAGGGGCGGACGACAACCTTACCACGGCTGTTAATGTGGAAGTAAGGACGAGCCCACTCGTCAATCTTGCAGAATTCGTCCGAGCCCTCAACGGACCACTGGGAGGTGACAGTGACGACCGGTGAGACTTCTGACGGCCTCCGTTCCTGATCGAAACCAAATGAAGCGCGCGAACTGAGGACGATAGCTGAGACCAAAGAAACACGCGAAACAGGGAGGCAAGCTCACCGAGAGACGACGATAATTGATCCTAGTTAAAGGGAGGATGAGATCGCCATGCACGTAGCCGGACGTCCCTGTTAGCTGCCGGCGTATTCGAGCTGCTACTGGAGAGACCACGCTTGGATTAAGAACACGCGAGTAAAGAGAAGATTGAAGCACGGATGAGGAGATCGGTTGGCAAGAAACAAAGCATGACGAAGAAGAATGCATCGTATGGAGTGGCCTGTTTGCATGCGATGGAGTATGATGTCTATAAATAGTGAAACGATTTGCTCGTACGTTTTCCTGACTCATAATTTGCGGGAATACGCAAACATCCTCTTCGTCACCTCTCATGCGCATTTGGACGTCATGAACAGATCATGGTTGTTGCTACATCCTCTCGTTCCTCGACTAATTATTCCATTTATCCTTATGAATTCTGTGAACGAAAGAGCATCCTTAATTATCAAAATAAATATTAAATTCTTAAAAGATAAGCTCTTTTATGTTCTAAAGTCAGCTGATTGTTTCTTAATTGCATCCGCTCTCATTGATAGAGAATTAAGAAGATTCGTGCGTATTCTGTGGTTCTACAAGTTCTTCGATTGCTTTCGTACTATTCCGCATGTAAATTAGACTCAAGTTGGCTTGGGTTTGACAAATACAAGACAGTCATTACTCAATTTCCACTTGGTTTAGACAAGATCAACTATACATATAAAGTCCATATATATATGATATGAGTTGAGGATGGCTCAATTCTTACATTTTCTTTTCATATGACAATTTCACACTTTAAGAATCGTACAAGTTATATCAATAATGAATACATGCATCTTTGCAATCCAATCCTTACTGCAAAGTTTGGGTTCTCTGATGTATTATACTCATCTTTCTATCTTCTAGATATCTTTCCTCGCAAGGATAGTTGAAATTTTGCCAAATTATAAAATACTTTAAATATAAGAAAACAGTAAACCAATCACAGAACTGCTAACCATCTACATCATAAACAGCTACTAGATGGCCAATTATTGCACATTATTAATGCGTGTAATTTCCATCAGCTAGACAGGTCGACTTGACCTGATCTCTGTGACCCTTCTAGTGGACGAGCAAAGTCAGAGAAGGTGTAGTACCAAAGGATGGGTCACTGAATGTTATGCACATGTAGTTACAACCAAGGCAGTCAGAAAAGTATGATCCTTCGTAGAAGAAGTAGCAGCATCAAACGATCAAGTGTTGGCATGAAAAGATGGCAGAGCGGAGGGCGATGGATCCCCAACCATCACCTTAATGCCAAGACCACCCGTCGCAGGGTCAATTAGGAAGAAAATGGATAAAGAGATCAGTTTGCTTCTCTCTCTAACAGAGGCCTAATAGCAGGAGCTTCTCTTGTTGGGCTGATAGCCCATATTCAGCCCATGTGGGCTAGGGTAGCTCATAGTCCACACCCCCTCTTAACCTAACCTTAATTAAGATTAAGGGAGGTGTGGGGGCTACGTTTTAGACGCATAAAAGAGACAGAAAAAGACAGCAACGTTGACATCCTCGTAGCAACAAAGAGAGAAGAAAATCAGAAAAACAAGAGAAAGAAAGGGAAGAAGACAAGGACAACGCAAAGAGACTGTTCTCAATCATCTATCAGTGTTCTCATCTCAGGTTAGATCAAATCTACAGTAAACTCTTGCTGTGATTACTTGGGGAGGTTTTAGATATTGTGGGCAGTGATGTGATCCTTGTATCCCAGTTATTCTCTTGTGGTTGTTGCTAGGGTTTTAGGCAAGAGATTGAGATTTGTATATTCATTATTCTCATAGTGGATTATCTCTAGTTTGTCCCGTGGTTTTTACCCTTCACGTTGAAGGGATTTTTCACGTATATCTTGTTATGTTTGATTGTGTTTCCATTTTATTCCGCTGCGTATTATGGTCTTCTAGTATTTGTTCATATACAAAGGTTATTCCTCTTTATATCCCCATCATCTCTTTTTAATATGGACCTAATCTATATCTTATTTCCAACATGGACCTAATTTGATCTATTTGTCATGATCATTACCTTCCACCCTTGCAAAAGTATTTATGGTCTTGAGACACGTTTGTAAAAGACACCAAATATGTTTGGTTATAGTCCATCACCCCAAATGCACTTCGATTTAACTAGCCTTAGTTACAAGTATCTTCAACCCTTTTTGCTCTCGATGGACAAGCGATTCAAGGAGCAACTTTGAGTACCTAAGTAACAATAATAACGTGTATGTATAGTTTTGCGGTCTGAGTGTTTTGCTGTATTATTCAAATGAGAAAGTCTATACGTCAACAAGGATTCACCATTAAGAGTTTAAAACTATTATCTTATTCATATATTATTCTTTTTTTTTTGTTAGTTTGATCGATATTTCTACTAACTTATCCCACATAATATTCCAAACTTATACATCCTTGATGGATTTAATAGCTTGGTGTTTCTTAATAGTAGTTCAGTTTGTTCTCTTATGAGAAGTAGAAGAGATCGTACGTGACCTTACGAATGATATGCAGCATTCTAGAATAGAACTTACAGGTTAGATTGTTAGCTTTCCGCTCACTAGTCATTGCGAACTTGCTTTGTGAACACAATGAATGAATATAACAAGCAATAATAATAAGGGACTTGTGAAGATTACGTGCTTTGCTGCACCTCAAATCATCACACATATTTTCCACGACATTTCATGTGCTAAGCAACTGTAGGTTTCCGGCCTTATTCGATGCAATTTCTACACTTGGATACATAAACAACGAACGACACAAGAAATAAGACAAAACATGGCATGGAATCGTCCCACTCATGTAGGAACCACAACTATTGACAATTCATTCGATGGCCAATAATGTTAGCTTCCTTGTCTGGGGGCGTCGAGCTCAATAATAAGATTAGAAATTTATTTTCAGATTAACAAGTCGTATCTCTGGGATGAAAATTATCCGCATGCCTACATCCATTGATATGCATTAAGCGTTTAGGTGAAAATATTTTCAGAATTAATCAACCACTTAATTATTAAAAATAGATTAGTAATGTAGTTAAATTAGTAAAATAAGTTAATGTGTGGTTTTTGAAGTTTTGTTTGTAATAAAAGAACCACTAAAAACCTTTGTGATTTTATAGAAGGTGCTTCCATTTTTAATTTTCTTATTATATATATATATATATTAATAACCTAAATATCTCTCGTTCGTCGTTGTTCGTTGCTTTCGCATGGTTACATTTGTTTCATCGACTCTATGTGATTGCTTTTGTCCTCTCACTTTCATGTTACTCCTCCGACCCAATCTCATTATCGTGAAGCCTCCATCGTCAATGTTGATCGTTGTTGCTCATGACATCAACAACTTATCTCTCGATTTTTCGATCTCCACATAATTTTTTTTATTTTTCATATTATCTTTGTCAAATAATAGGAGAGGACTTACGATAGAGATAATCGTGACGGAAGGAAGGTGATCAAACAAAGATCACGAGTCTTGTTATTAGAAATAAAAAAAAATTAAAAATTAAAAACTAAGACACTTAAAAAAAAACCTAAAAAACAAAGGACGAATACTTTTACTAATTCCTTGGTATTTATGTTTTTACAAGTATGCACTATATATTTCGTCTCACTCTTTAAAACACCTCCGTGGTGTCTAATCCGGCAGAAAAAGAGTAAACAAGAGACTTTTGTCCCCGCGACTCTACACCCTGTTAGACCCCGGACAGAGTGTACAAAGGCTTCTCAATAGGAACCGATCAATATCTGTCACGTGGATATTTGATAAGTCATGCCTTCCATTTAGACGGCGAAATGGTGTAGTTGGGCTTACGATAAACAGGCGATCCTCACAAATCTGACACGGGATGGACGTCAGAACAGAGTAACAGCCGCAGGACTTGAGAAAGAGGAGCAACAAATAAAAAAAAAGAGATCAAGAAATTTTCTGGAGGATTCGCGAGAGAAGAATCTCGAGGAGGACGAGACGAAGAAGGAAATCAACGGCGTTTCCGATAGGTAGGAGGTTTTCTTCTCTTTGGACTTTCCCTTCTCTGGATTCTCTTTCGCAATTCATCTCATTGTGCTCGGATTCTGCAACTCGAAACACTTCCATGCTGACATTTGGATTTTGAGCGTGTTGATAGCGGCGTATAATTATTCCTGTCTTTGGTTTTGCAAAATCCGTTCTTTAGTTGTTCGATGACATCGTTCATTGCTCTTTGGTTGATAAAAACCCTAGCTTTGCCATTTGTCTTCCCCCTTTTCGTCGATTTCTTGTTTTGTGCGGTTTGGAGCTGACTCTATTGTGTTGATATTTGTGCTTTAAGTTGGATAAGGTGAAAAATGATCTTGAGGCTTCATTACAGCATGGAATTTCACGCTGAGATGTTCGTGTGTTGGTGGATCTCTTGATCTGTGATCTCAATATGGCGGTGTTTGGAGATACACAGCTGTCGAGGTCGTCCGGAGTCCATATACAAGGTGGACAGCTGAGACCTTTTCATACACTTATCTGCTGTAGGTATACACGTATTTCTAACACTTGCTTGAAAATGAAAGAGAAATGTGTTCTCCTGTGCTTAAAATGAAGTGCAAGTTTAGACTGCAGCACTTTTATGAGGCCACTATCGAGTTGAAATAAAGGAGAGTCTTGCATTGTCCGTATAATGCATGGCAATGAGCTTTTAGTTTGAATCGGTTCATGCCGGAAGTGTTCATATGTCGTATCAGAATCTGTGAACTTTGCCTTAAACTCAAATTGTTAAGCACGACGACGTTGTTAGGGTTTGATTGTTAGTGTAGCTACCTATTGTCATCATATTCATAATTAACTTCAGATGCTTCAAGCAATAATTCATTAGATTTATAGTCACAAATGTCATTAATTTGTAAAGATAAGATGGTCATGGCTTGGTGACTTTGTTCCATATATGCAACTGAAACTGATTAAGAAAGAAAGAAATACAAGTTCTTTACACTTCCTGAGGTAGATTTTCTCGGAAAGTATTGCTGCTGCATTTACAACCAAATTTTACATTGTGCACAAGGGCTAGTTCATAATTTTTGTCTGCATACTAGCTTCACTGATAGTAACCTGAATTTGGAAAAGGTAGCATTAGGAATCTTATTCCAATGTAATTATCACTGTTTTTTTTATTTATGGTGATGAGCCAGATCCACATTTTTCTTTCCTAAAATAGCCATTTGGACGAATTTAACTTGGAGAGAGCTTGTGACAGATAAATTTTAGTATCAAATTATTTTTTTACTGTTCCTTTCCCCTTATAGCTCATTACTCTTTTCTGCTCATGTGCTTTATAATTTTCTTCATGAGTTAACAAATGTCATGAGAGCAACAAAGCATAATACTTATCATGTGATGTAATGTACTACTCCTTGGCATCATTGCCTATAGAATGGTGGTGTGAGCAACTGCAGATGATGGGATTTGTATCAAGGATTAGGGTTTGGTGCTTGGCGTTAATTGGGGAGAAAAATGTAGAATTGACAGTGAATATTAGGTGAGAAGGGATTTGTTGATGCGAAAAATGGGTCTTCTATTAACTGATGAGGACATAATAGTATCTTTACCTTGTCAGGCTAACCATTTACTTGATATGATCTTTTGGCTAACATGACCCTAGATAAATGTACCATCATGACAGGGCATTCATGTTAAATGCCTAAGTTTAGAATGTTGAATGTAATTCAATATTTTTGAAAGGGAATTAGCCATTTTAAGGATGTTTATATGTAAAAAAGCAATAGACACAAATATTAAATGGCAGCACATAATCTTTAACGAATTTCTTCCATTTATGTGACAAATATTGACTAGAAGATAGTAGTAGTAAAATAATTGATGAAATAAGGTATATTCATAGGTCCTCATGCTGTCACTTGCAGTTTTCACATTTTCTTGCAAATATTTGGTAGATTAAATTGTGTACGTAATGCATCTTCTTAGAGATCTCTTAATAATTTGTAATTAAATTATACTGTTTTCTTTGAGGAACAATCACAGTCTAAAACAAAACCTTTAAAGAAAAGGCAACAAACTAATTGTTAGATTTAAAATTAAACATGTACACAAAATGTAAAAGTTGTAATCTATATTTGATACTTTGCTAATAAATAAGTTAAGTCACTCATCTATACCTAAATACCTAATAAAAGAACAATAATATTTAGAGCGTTTTTTAAATGAAAACAAAGTAATCTAGTGTCGTACAAACTACTGCTTGTTCTAACTTAATCCAATCTTGGGACTGTAGGGCCATGCTAACAGTCATGTGGGCATCTATAAGGTATGCTATTCTACTTATGATTACTCCTAGTACTTCTAGTCTTCCAAATATGTTGGAAAATTTAACAAGAACAGGATGTTCTTCATGTTCTAGTATTGTTGTGCAATTATCATCTATGGGCTATTACTACCATGTTTGCTATTATCTTTAACCACAACAATGTGGTTTATACAGAATGATGAGAAATTGACAAGAAGCTATTTGAAGACCTACAGAGCATGAGGATTTGATGACAACTCTTTGCTTTGCTGTAACCATGTTAACCTTCTTAAGGAGCAGAATGATGAAGAACAAAAGAAGTTAATGCCTCTTAAGGAGAGGGTGGTAATATCTGGTTGAAGTAGCTCTCTTCCACAGAACTAGTTACTCTCTTTTGCCATCAAGTTTTCTCCTATAAGCACTACATGAACTTTTTCCTGAGTGCACCTGTGCTTACTTTGTTTTGATATATATATAACCTTAAAAACATATCAACATATGTGGCTGAATGAGCACTTCTAATAAAACTTTGGCAGATACTGGAAATTTTGCATTCATCCTACAAATCAATTGTGCTTATGGATGATGTTGGACAAAGAGAAAATGGGAGACACAAGACTGATCAATATAGAACTGCTCATGCACAGGTATAATAAAAATAGTTTTCAGCAATTACTGATTCCTTTATGACACCGTTTGTATCAAATTTAGAAAACTTGAAAAGTCATAAATTTAGCAAAGTTAGTTTCCTGTTTGGTACACCCGATTTGGAACAGCTTTAGCTGTTGGTATGATTAGACCAGAGAATCACTTGCTTTGGGTTTCTAATTCTGATTTCAGAGTTGGCTAGCCTTTTGGCATTTAAAACCAACTTTTAGACATTTGAACATGATGAATTTTACTTGGCTTTCCAGAATCTTCTGTTCTAGTTTGCCTGATTAGAATTTTGTTTAATTATCATTAAGGGATGTTCTTCTCTACTTTCATCAGTATTAAACATGTCAACTGCAAAATCTTGGTGTTGGTGCTATGAAATATGATAATAACTTAGATTTTAAGTTGAACCTCCAAAATAAATGCATGAGCAGTCCAAGTTGTAGAATCAGAATGCAGGCCTTACTGCTCTCTGATGTTGGTCTTTTTCCTGAATCAGAATGCAGGCCTTACTTGCACTTACATTTTTGTCTAAAATCATTTTTAGCTCCACTTCATGTTTAAAAAAGAAACCTTTTGATTATACTAGCATAAAATGAGGATATGGGACTTGTGAAACTTCGTTTTTGTGTTTTATCCTGGTCAATTCATGTTTTGCAGCACGAGCACTATCCCGCCTAAAGAAAATTAATCACCAATTGTTAGCTAATTAGCCATCCACTTCATCACACAACACAATTTGAACACTAGACATGGATCATAATACACCTTCTTTATATAGCTTAAGTTGTTGATCTTATTATTCTATTTGGATGTGGTTACAGTGGATGTTGCCTCAACATCAGCTTAAGGAGAATCAAACCATAAAGCTCCTTATGGCTGAACGGGAAAAAGCTCTCCAAGAACGAGACATGGCCATCACTGAGAAGAAAGCTGCTCTGGTTGAGCGAGACATGGCATACCTCCAGCGTGATGCTGCAGTTGCGGAGAGGAATAGTGCCATCATAGAACGTGACAATGCGATTGGAGCACTTGAATATGCCCGTGAGAATGGCATGAGTGGTAACTGTGCAACTGGGTGTCACCTTGGTTCCCATGGGACAAAGCATATTTACAACCACCAGCAGCAACACCTTCAGCATATCCACTCTCCCCAACAGCAGTTACATGATGCTCCTAGCAAACAAACACGAGAGACACCAACGAATGAGGCATCTCCCGACTCAGGTGGTTCAGTAACTGGAACGAAGTTCAATAAGGCTAAAAGGTCAAGGAAGGAGAGTAAAGTACTAGCCTCTTCATCCAAAAAGATGATGAAGGCACCTCGGAGGAGTAAAAAGGGTGGGAGTGATGATTTGAACAAGCAGGTAACTATTGCTAGGACAACTGGTGAGTGGAGAGGTGAAATTGGAGTTGGAGAAGATCTAAACAAGCAGGTTTCTTTGACAAAGCATCATGAATGGAAGAGTCAGGACTTAGGTCTGAACCAGGTCTCTTTTGATGACACGACAATGCCAGTGCCAGTCTGCTCGTGCACCGGAAAATATCAACAGTGCTACAAGTGGGGGAATGGAGGGTGGCAGTCTGCCTGCTGTACCACGACTCTTTCCATGTATCCACTGCCAGTCATACCCAGCAAGCGCCATGCACGAGTTGCAGGGCGCAAGATGAGTGGTAGTGCATTCAGAAAGCTCCTAAGCAGACTAGCAGCGGAAGGCTATGATTTGTCTCTACCGGTGGACCTCAAAGACCACTGGGCTAAGCACGGCACCAATCGCTACATCACCATCAAGTGATTCTGTTAAGAGTTCTATGAGTCAGGGAATGTGGTTTGTCGTCTTGAATCTCTCTGGGCAGGTATGTAGCAGGTAAGTCACCACTGTATGTAAGCATATGTCTTTTGGCCAGTGTTGTTTTATGCAGTAGTAGTTAAAACACTACCTATTACTGGTTGTCATGGCTTTTGTTAACTGTAACATATGCATCAATTTCAAGAACCTTGGCCCCAAAAAAACAGTTCTTTCTCTTGAACTCTTTGGCATATAGGGTCACTAGACTCATTATCACTAAGATCTTTTTAGTTATTTCCCAGTTCTCAAATCATGACTCCAAAAGTAATTGTATATTTCTTTCTAAACTGACACTCTTAATAGGAAAAAGTAGAAATATCTGGTACTTTTGTGATAAAACTAGATCTTGTTTCGGAATTTTAGTTTGTATGCTATCGATACTATATCTGTTATTGGTACTTACATTGCTGCCAGCACAATTCATGGTGGTGTTTGTTGTATATTTAAAGGGAGATTTCACTTTGGCCTGGATTCTTTTTCATGTATCTTATCTTCCAGAACAAAGACCTAAAACCTTCAGGATTAGCAGCTACCCTGATCTCCACTGCAAAACAGTTGATAGAACAACACTAAGCAACCAATGATTCTTAAATCCTGTTTTTCTTCTGAAAAATCTGAGTTGGTTGGCACTGGATTCAAAGAACATGAATGTTTAGTGTTTAAAGAGTTCGATCTGTGAGATATGCTATGATGATTTGGACAGCAAGGAAGCTTCGTCATCTTTGTTGGAAGCAAAATGAAGAGATTTGCACAGTTGGGGAAATCAAAACAGTGCAAATATGTTCATTTTATTTTCAATCAAGATGATGAAACTTAATTACTGCCTAAAGCATAATAGAATATCAGTTAAATTTGCGATAAATGAGGTAAATGAATGAATGAAGTTTGGAGAGTGTGTTTACAGAGATGATTCAGACTTTGAACTGATGTGATGCCTTCTCGTGGCCAACTCGATGAACATAACTAATCATCAAACCCGTCTCTACCGGCTGTTTGTTTCCTTTCTTTTCGCTTGACTTGTGGTTTCTTTGAGGGGAGTCCTCTGGCAACGAAAGCATTCATCGTATTGTGCTGCTGGAAAGAGAAAAGATTCCCACCAAGGACACACTATATCGAGTGTCCTTTACGCCAAGTCCACCCATCTCTTCTGTGTCTCATCTTGTAAAATACATTTTACAATAGTCATGTCCAATATACAGATCATTTATTTGGATAGTGATAATGTTAGACAATAATGTAAATCTGGCTGCTCAAAAGGATGCATGTGACTCCATTTTTCACTTTCATTTCTTCTCAGTCCACCATTTTTGGTGGGGTCATCTCAAATTATGATGTGGGAGTTAACAACATCGACAGCCCAATAGAGTAATCCATCTTTAGCTGAAATGGACTCCATCAATCATTGCTCCAGAAAGGTTTCCTTTTGAGCTCTGGGTTTGGCTTGCTGGTGAGCTAAAGTCTCCAGGAATCTTATTCTATTCCAATCACATAAAAGAGTTGCCAAAGAGCACCACTCGGTTGCTGTTAATATGATGGTGTCATCTCCTGTCTCTGCTTCACAAACAAGCAACACTCTTTGTCTTTCTTAATCCCTCTTCTTTCTCTGCTTAAACAAGAACATGCATCTGTTAGAGATAAAAAAGGCATTCACCAAATAGTAGCTATCATCTGCTTGGTAGCATCTAACCAAGACAAACCAGTCATATAGCTAACACTAAGAGAGCTTAAACCCTCTTTCTAAACACAGTAGCTGACTTCTGTTTTGCCACGTTTTTGTTTGTCTGGACCAGACACCATATAGCCAACCACAAACACAAGAGATTCTCCATTTCTAGTGCTCTCTCTCTCTCTCTCTCTCTCCCATACATTGTGACAGCCAGTATCATGCACATTTTGTTCAGAGCAGAGCCATACAAAGCTTGGTTTTCCACAACATTTGAGAAGAGGTCTACAAGTCTTCAAGCTCTCACCGTTCCTTTCTTTTTTGGCCTTCTTCCGACTCTGGCTAGGGATGGGAGACGACGGCATGAAACAATCAATGGTTCCACCGAGCTCGAGCAGAGATGTCCGTTCACCACCACGAACCTTTCCCCTCCCCACGCATTAATTTCTGAAGCCCGGAAAGAGGAGAAATATGGGCGGAAAGCGAGACAGAGGGACAGAAACTGGGCCTATACCACGTGCTTCCCCATCTCCTTCGGTTCACCGGCGGAACTCCCCACCAATTTAATACCGCTTCCCCCTAATAATAAACCGCTCACCTACTCCCTCCTTCCACTTTGTTGTTAATGCCACTGCTCTATTTACGCCGCACAACGGCCATGTCGACGACGGTGACCGCACCCCTCCCCGCCGCCGCCGCTAGTATAGTCCTCTCGCCTCACAGATGGACTAACCGCCGTCTAAAATGAGAAGCCGCTGTCGTTTGTTCTACCTCTTAGTCGTCTACGTTGCCGTCGTCTTATTAGGGCCGGCGCCGCAGGGGGCGGGGGCGCAAAATGCGGCGGCGGCGGCTGCTGAGAAGGAGATACTGCTGGAGTTCAAGGGAAACGTGACGTCCGACCCCGGCGGAAGGCTCGCGTCCTGGGTGGCCGGCGGCGATCCCTGCCGCGATTTCGTTGGCGTGTTCTGTAACGACGCCGGCGCCGTGGTGAAGATCCTCGTCCACGGAGCCGACCTCGTCGGGACCCTCCCCGCCTCCCTCGCCGGCCTCCGATCCCTCCAGATCATCTCTCTCTTCGGCAACTGCTTCTCCGGCGGGGTGCCGCCGGAGTTCGCTGGGATCCAGACTCTCCACAAACTCAACGTCAGCCGCAACCTCCTGTCCGGCGACGTCCCGGGGTTCCTCGGCGGTCTCCCCGGGCTCCGCCTCCTCGACCTCTCCTACAATGCCTTCTCTGGCGAGATCCCGGCTATTCTCTTCAGCAGCTGCGTCAGGACGCGGTTCGTGTCGCTCTCCCACAATGCCCTATCCGGTCCGATCCCTGCCGATATCGCCAATTGCTCGAGACTCGTCGGAATCGACTTGTCCTTCAACAATCTCACCGGAGAACTCATTCCTCAGATCTGCCAGCCGCCGGACATCAACTACATCTCCGTGAGGGGAAATTCGCTGTCGGGAACCGTCACTGATAAGGTCTCAATGTGCCAAAGCCTGGAGCTTTTCGATCTCGGGAGCAATTCTTTCTCCGGAACGGTGCCTTTCGATCTCCTTAGCCTCCAAAATCTTAGCTACTTCAACGTATCATCTAATAAATTTCATGGGGAAATACCCGAGATTAGTGTTTGCAGTGAGAAATTAAGGTTCTTTGATGTCTCCAGCAATGAGTTGAGCGGTAGAATTCCGCCAAGCATAGCGAATTGCCGGGGTCTCAGGTTTCTTGACTTAGGTTTTAACAATCTCAGCGGAAGCATTCCGCCAGAAATTGGGACCTTGAAGTCTCTCTCAATTCTAAGGCTAGGGAACAATGCTGGCATTGGGGGCTCGATTCCGGCCCAGCTTGATGGGATTGAGCTGCTTCAGATTTTGGAGGTCCAAGATCTTCAGCTTTCCGGCGAGATCCCAATCACGCTGAGCAATTGCAGATTCCTTCTTGAGCTGTGAGTTCTTCGTGGGAAAATTTCCCAATTCATGAATCCTTTCTATGATCATTTCTTCGCACAATTAATGAGTTTTAGAGCTGTGATTTTGCAGGGATGTGTCGGGCAATGACCTGACCGGAGTAATCCCAGACACCCTTTATAACATGACCTACCTCAAACACCTCGACCTGCACCAAAACCAGCTCAACGGGAGCATCCCCTCAACCTTGGGCCAGCTCTCAAATCTTGTATACTTTGACCTTTCTGACAATTCGCTCACTGGAACGATACCTGACTCTCTTGGAGGTCTGACATTGTTAACTTACTTCAATGTATCTCACAACAACCTCTCTGGGGCCATTCCTTTGGCGGCCACAATCCAGCAGTTTGGACCTTCTGCTTTCTTGAATAATTCGTTACTATGTGGCCCTCCGCTAAGTACCCCTTGCACATCAGGAAATGTTTCTCGAAGAACAAGAGTATTGACCATCCCTGCCATTATAGCCATTGTGGCTGCTGCTATAATACTCAATGGTGTTTGTGTGGTAACAGTCATGAACATCCAGGCGTATGGGAAGAAGGTCATGGAGGAAGAGACTTTGGTATCCGAGAGCACTCCTCCAGCTTCAACAGGCTCAAATGTGATCATCGGAAAGCTGGTTCTTTTCAGCAAGAGTTTGCCATCTAGGTATGAAGATTGGGAGGCAGGAACCAAGGCATTGCTTGACAAGGACTGCATGGTTGGTGGTGGATCCATTGGGACTGTATACAAAGCCACATTTGAGGGTGGAGTTTCAATCGCGGTGAAGAAGCTTGAGACCCTAGGCAGGATCAGGAACCAAGAGGAGTTCGAGCAGGAGATTGGACGCCTTGGTGGCCTGGGGCACCTTAATTTAGTTGCATTCCATGGTTACTACTGGTCATCCACTATGCAGTTAATTCTCTCAGAATTTGTTTCTAATGGGAATCTATATGATCACCTCCATGGCTCTCCTGATCTACACTCAGGAAGCAGTAGTAGCGGTGGCAGGGGTGAGTTGTTCTGGTCTAGGAGGTTCAATATAGCCACTGGGGCAGCAAGGGCTCTTGCATATCTTCATCATGACTGTAGGCCCCAAGTCCTGCATCTTAATATCAAGTCCACTAACATACTATTAGATGAACAATATGAAGCTAAGCTCTCTGATTATGGGTTGGGGAAGTTGCTGCCGATCCTTGGTAGCTTCAACTTAACAAAGTTTCATATGGCAGTAGGTTATGTTGCTCCAGAACTAGCTTCCCAGAGCTTGAGATATAGCGACAAATGTGATGTCTATAGCTTCGGGGTTGTCCTGCTGGAGATTGTTACCGGGAGGAAACCAGTGGAAAGCTCAGGTGCAGCTAAGGTGGTGGTGTTGCAGGATTATGTTAGGGGTGTGCTGGAGAACAGAACTGCGTCGGATTGCTTTGACAGGAACCTGAGGGGTTTTGTAGAGACTGAATTGATTCAGGTTCTTAAGTTAGGTTTGATATGCACGTCTGAAGCCCCATCGAGGAGGCCAAGTATGGCAGAAGTTGTGCAGTTTCTGGAATCGATCAAACCCAATTCATGATCCGTCT